CAGCAGAGTGGTTTAATTAGTTGTAATTTATGCAGATCAAGTGTTACATGCAGCAGCTGCTTTTGGGGCTCCATCATTGTCATGAGAGAGGAGTTATGCATAGGGATATTAAACCATCAAACTTGCTAGTGGATAAAAAAGGGGTGCTAAAAATTGCAGATTTTGGGCTGGCAAATTCTTTTGCTATTAAACCTGAAGGGCCTTTTACAAATCGAGTGGTGACACTTTGGTATAGAGCTCCTGAACTTCTATTAGGTTCAACACATTATGGATATTCAATTGATCTATGGAGTGCAGGATGCTTGTTGGCTGAGATGTTTCATGGAAGACCAATTATGCCTGGGAGGACTGAGGTAAAACTTCATTTGGCCTCTATGAAAATAGTAAAAGTTTTTAGCTTGGACATCATATACAAATGATGATTGATGATTGATCTTATCATTTTGAAGACTTATAACAAGTTATATCACACTTTGCTAGCTTAAGCTAATTTTTGGTATAATCATATCATTAGTATGAAATACCCGTTTGTGAGAAGTTTATTCAAACAATAGCAGTTTTTGGAGTCTGATGAGTTACTAAGCATTTTATGTATGAAGGTTGAACAGATTCACATGATCTTCAAACTTTGTGGTTCACCTTCAGCGGATTACTGGATGAAAACGAAGCTAATGACAAGCTTCCGTCCGCCACCACATTATAAAGCAAATTATGAAGAAAATTTTAAGGACTTTCCTTCCTCTGCTTGTGCTCTCTTGACTACACTTCTTCATCTGCACTCTGATTCTCGTGGCACCGCTGCCTCTGCTCTTGAAAGTGAAGTAAGTTAGTTCTTCTCTAGCAGCTTGTTTCTAATTTGTGATGCTTCTTGTTGCTTGTATGTGAAGTTTGATGTATTTTGTTTGATTTGGTCTACATTTTGATAATTAATGACTTATTGAGAGTATAATAGTGTCCATATTAAGTCATTGTTCCTCGATCTTCACTTTTCGACAACATCATCATGATTTGACAATATAGTCCTGATTTAGATTAGCCACATGGTATTAGAAGTTCGCAAGGATTTTGTTACTAAACTTTCAAGTTTCATACAGATGTATACACTTTCAAACATTTCAGAGAAAACAAAGAAAATTGCTTTAATCCAATAAGAACATCGTGTGATTTCCTAGATTACATCATTTTTATGTTTCCTAAAAACATATTATTTCAAACTACAACCTGCTAATTGTTGACTGCTTACAGTTTTTCAAATCAAGTCCATTAGCATGCGACCCTTCAGCGTTGCCAGTAATCTACAACGATGAGGATGAACGCTCACAAACAAAGAGACGCAAAAGGTATGCTATCAATTCAGAACTTCAAAGCTGTCTTTAATATGAGTTACTCTTTAAGTGATGGAAGTGAAGAAAACAATTCCAGCAATTGTGGTTTTCACATATGATATTTGTAGATAACAAGTGTGGACCAAATTATGTGTTCTTGATAAATAAAGTGCAACATTGGATTTTCGTTGGTTTCTTAGACTGAAATTGATAATTTTCATGACACATTAAAGGCGCAAGGGTCTGAAAAATAAAGGGCAAGTATTTCAAACAAGTGCATCCAATGTGAGCCACTCACGAAAGAACCAAACTGCAGAACAACGATGGAGAGATTCAGAATCATCAAAGGAGGTCAGATCCATGCTTCACTAAATATATCCTTTAAAACAGTCATCAAGAATCATCTACAAGGAACTAATAATTTGTATGCTTTTGGTTTTGACAATAGAAGAGGGTGTTACAAAACATGAAAGGAGAAGAAACAAGGAATAGTGGAAGTAGCAGCGCGTGGTCATTCTTTATGAACGAGAGGAGCATGAGCATGAATGCATCTTTATCACCACTTTTTCTCTCTAGTGTGAGAAAATCCCCCAGAACTGAGGGCCATCCCAATGCTCTTAAGAACATAAAAAACTATGCCCTCTTACAAGCCTCTATAATTGATGTCATCAATCGCAATGAAAGCAGTGAAATTGGTCCCTTGCGTAAGTCCTTTTCTGCGTTGGATTTTCGGCTTGATCAAGAGAAGCTATCAAGCTTCTACGGACCAAATAACAAGTTGGGTAACGAAATGTGATTTTCTGTCTCTTCCTGTTCTATAATCCTTGGTAGTCTGAACATTCAGAAATAAAATTTACTAATTTACCGTATAATTTATTATAGACAATATTTTTAGAATAATAAGTATATTTTGAAATAATGTTTCCTCTTTATCTCTCTATTACACATTCACACTATCTATCTTAAATTTCTCTTCTTCCCACTTTTCTTTGTATAAAGAAACTGTACAAATAATGTTGTACAGATACAATCAATACATATAAAGCATATCTTTCAGGGACAGAAGTTCAGTGATAAATATAAAGTTCCTCATTAGTTCATTAATTATGACCAATTTCTTCAGCACTAATATTATTCATAAAGGTAACCTGGTTATAACCACCACTATAACTTCATTAATAGGCATGAAAAAAATTCAAATGATTTATCACTAATATAAAATATTTATAACAGATTTTAATTTATAAAACGTAAAATTTATTAAACATCTAAAAGGTTGACACCCTTGGGTATTCACATGTAGACACCTTTTCTTAAACACAGATTACATACAAGGACAAAGCACTTCATGATTGACGTTCAAAGAAATCAGCACCATTCTCCACATCATCTGTTCTAATGCATCCGCTTTGCGCCATTAGAATTCTATATACTCTCTTTGAACAAACCTCACCTAGCCTTCTGTCACCACCAAGCAAGCCTTCTGTCATCAAGTCTTTAAGTAAAAATTCCTTCTCATGCTCCTGTGGCAATAAAACCATAGTCTTATTTTTCATATCGCACCTTCCATCATTAAGGACAATAAACTTAATGGTCATCCTTTCTTTTGTCCCCAATTATTTGTAACTAGAGCAACTAAAAGATATTAATCAAATTGCATTGCTTTGTATCCAAATTTTCTGCAATCAATCAGGAAGGTCAAAGCAAACAAAGTAAATATTAACAACACATACCGATTTACTTGAATCCATATAAACACTTAGCAGGGACTTCATGGTTGGGTATTTCTTCCAAATAGCAATAGCAAATCGTGGCTGTACCTTGGGGATAGCAACCAAAGCTTTTAACCTAGTCATGGATGTCAAGGTGAGGAACTCAATGTATAGATTGCAAAGCAGAATTGAAAGAAATATTGCCTAGATGAAAGCCCCATTTACTCCACAATCAAGTAGTTTGACTTGTAAGTATCAATAAATATATCTTTCAAAATATTGTTGTCTAAGTACACTGAATACAGGAAATTCAAATATTTTAAGTCAAGGATAAGATAATATCAAACATCTCTCCTACAGAAAAGTTTAGTATCAGGTAAGTTTGAGGCAGAAATGACAAATTCATCACATACAAAATAAAACAGACCACAAAAAGTTTTTTTTTTCTTTTTCTTTCCTTTTTTGGTAGAAAGAACATCAATTTAAGTATCAGTGAATTATATTGATAGAAACAAGAAATAGATCACAAAAAGAACATTTAGTCTTGATCAGTTGATCTTGAGCGAAAAGAAAAGAAGCTACAGAATCTCAGAAGGGTCTTCAGCTTAAATTTAATTTAAATTAATAAACCTCATTCTAAATGCCAAAGGTAAACTAATACAGTAAAAAAAAAGAAAACCAACAAAAAGGAGCAATCCGATGCACAAGGCTCCCCATCTAGTGGATATGGTGAGGGTAGATATATGCAACTTTATCTCCAAGTTGCAATGCAGGAATCTAACTGTTGTGCCAAGGCTCATCCTCGGTCACAAAAGAACCATCTTTCACCAATTAAAATTAAACAACAAGGTGGTTCTTATTCTCCTCAAACCAAATACATCAAGCCACTACAAATATCCTTCTGACTACTTCACTAACCCTTAACTGAGTGGCCTCTACATTGTTATAGAACAGAACAATTTCACCAGACACTCATCCCACCTAGATTTACCTTGATAAATAGCAAGTTATATTGTCATATCAAGAAATCATCTTATAATAGACTTTAAGTAAAGAATGCCAGGTGTTCCTAATCACAATTGCAAACAAGAAAAAGAAAAATTCTTGCAATTTGCCCTTCACCACTTGTTTTAAGGGTTAAGCTAAACAATTGTCTTTTATGTGAAAGCCTTGACTAGTGAGTCTAATTGTAAAGCTTGCTACAAAGTCATTACAACAATAGCTTCCTAATATCATTTGCCATTGCACAAACTACATTGGTTAAATTATTAGCAACTTCGAAAACATAGCACTTGACTTAATACCATTTTCAATCTGTGTTAACATTGAAAATGAAAAAGAAAATGGCAGAAAGAACGAAGGAAGAGCAAGCAATAATTCAGGTATTTAGATAATCAAACTCTTAAACATACAAGTAGAAAGGACAAAACAGACATGAAGCACACAAGCAGATGAAAACAAAATAAATCAAATGAAGGTAAACAACAACTGGTAATGAGTAATAGAATTGGAAATAGAGCCATGTATTGGTTTCAAAGAGTTTATGCAATAGAAAAATTACAAATCCTGCAAATTATTCAGCCTAATTGTTCTCGTAATTACCACAAGAAAAAAGTATTAAATGCCTTTTGTGTTGGCAAGAAATTAAATGCTTAAGCATTTTCATTTAATACTTTTAAAGTAATTAAGAGGATGCTAGCATTTCTTTATGCAATATAACAATGTACAAATCACTCACCACAAAGATTTCTTTATCAAATTCCGGTCAACACAGTCTTTTGGAATAAGGGCTCCATTTGCATTTACTGATAATCGGGTTAACTTCTTTCTGCGGTTTAAATACACAAAAATGGTATAAGATTAAAAAAAAAATTATACAAGTATGTAACATCTTTACAATGTTAAAAAGCAAGTATCGTGTCTTCTGAATAACACCAATTTTAGTACATGGGAGCTGTTCATGCAAACTGAAAAAATAAATGCTTCAATGCAAATTTTAAATTTAAATAAACAGATCATATGCATGAAAAATGGTGAAAAAGAAAGAAAACAATGGATTATTTTTATAACGGATATAGCTAAGAATCAGTAGACATTTCAAATTTCATCAATGTACCCTTTAATAGATTAAGCATAACAGGTTTTACATGTAGGAGTTTTGCACATGAAACTGTTTTGCTTCCAAGATTGATAGGAGTCTAATTCAATACCAAGAGTAGAGGAATCAAGTACCTAAACTGACAAGATGCTAGGCTGCAGGTCAAACCAACAACATGCTCGGCCAGTTCAGCCTCATCTACACACTGCCTGGAATGTACTTTGTTGAGATTAGTCGTTAGTTTTGCCAGAACCTACAATACAGTTTAAAACAAAAAAAGATAGACATTTTAAACTAGGCAAAGATCTAAAACATGACCTATTCCTTGTAATTTGAAAATAAAAGGCCAGTTATCTAACCTCCTCGACAGGTGGACGTCTCCAACAACTATTGTTTTCAGGGTTCTTATATTTTTCTTGTTCCCTAACAGATCATGAAAATCAAAGTTTCAACAAAATAAAATTGTGAAATTAAAAAGAAATTATATGTTACCAATAAATTGGCCAAAAGTATCAGAAATCATTGACATATATTTAAAAAAAATTATATGCAGAAGAAAAATATTAGTATGGAATTTTATCTGTCAAGAAAGTTGGATGCACTATGTAGCATCCTTTTGGTAATTTTTCATTGCATTTGGCAATCAGGAATGTGTTTGTACCTTGCACAGCATGAAACTTACATTCAGTCTAGAGTCTAGACTAAGATTTTCTTACTCTTGGCTGAAAGGAATTGCATTTTGGCAAAATATTGCATATGATTTTCGAAATATCCTCATTTACACTATTTCAATAATATTTAATAGAAATTTCTATTCAAAAGTAATTATAGACAAATATCCAGTTAACCTATACATCTAAAAAATAAAAAAAGAATCAAGTAAATCTTGTATTTATAGAAAGATATTTAAAGTAAATGGTTAGAATAGAAAATAAGGTGCATGTTTGAGCTTGTCACACAAGGACCAGTAACACAAGTTCCGAATTCCAATTGCACAATATTTTTCAATCATACAAATTTCAACAATAGATATAAAATGGTTGACGGTAGTGTAATTTATTTATTATAAAAAAGTTTATAGGGGTGCAAATGAATACAGATGGGTAGCTGACCATTTATGTAAATAGAGCCCTATCAAATGGGTCATGACTGATGAGTATGTTTAGCAAAATTAATGTTAACTCAAATGCATGTAAAATGTAAAAAAGTTATTGAGTACTTCTAACTTTTTTATTATATTATATTCCTTTTATTTGTTTTCGGAGTTTGATTGAAACCCGATATTTAGTTATTCGGGGTGGAGGTGAATTGGCAAATATACACACTGCAGACATGATTATGCAAACACAATAGCAACATAGCACAAACTGCACAATACGCTAAAACATAAATGTAACTAATTGCTAGAAGAATTAAGTATTCAGATAATTGTAATATATCACTCACCTTTTATTAATGTAAGCCAATAACCTATTGGTGAGGTAACAAACTGTATAAGCTGGATAAAGATTTCGAATTCTAGAGAGTTGATTAAAAAGAGAATCATTCATGACAAGATTACAAAATTTGTCAGCCTCATAAACAAGCAAGACATATGGAATCTCAATTCTTTCAGTAGAAAGCTGCAAATAATAAATAAAAAACAAATCAATGCCAGCAAAATGCTTAATGAATTTGGTGCTTAAAGATGTACTACAGGAATTTCTTACCTGTGAAATATGTTCTGGAACTTTCATAGACCACAAAATTGATCCTGCGATTGGATTTGATGTAATATGGTATGTAAGGCCTTTTTCAGCAAACCTAGAAAGCAGATGTCCTGAAGAAAGGGAATAGAAGTTTTATAAGAAAACAATCATGATTAAAAAATTGCATTAAAATATATTGAAGTTATGAATTCAGATAAGCGAGAGTATTAGTTTTAACAGAAAACAATCATAGTAAAGAAACTATATAGAAATTTATCATGTACTTATGGATTCAGATATCAGTAACCTACCTCCAATTGAACCTGATTCAACTACCTTTGCATCAATTTCAGCCACAATAGATTTTATTGCAAACTTCCCTTTTTCCCACTTTTGCTTTTCTTTTTCAATTTTTTTTAGTTCTGCAGCTTCAGCCTTCAGAGCAGCTTTTTTTAACTTCTCTTGCTGAAGAATAAGTTTTCATGAGCTATCATATTCTGAATGATATAAAGTATAAACAATGATCAGAGTTTAAACTAAACGCACTTCTTTCTGTAGTTTCTTTTCCTCCATCAGGAGGCTTCTTTCTTCTTTTGTCATTTTTGTTTTTCCCACTGCTTTGGTTGTGTTCTTTGCAGAAACTTTGGATTTTTTCATATTTTTGGCGTTCTCCTCCTGCTCCATGTTCGTATTTTCTTAATCAGGATGGCCATAAACTCATAAAATAGCTTCAGATTCTCCCATATACATGGAGCAAAATGCAAGCAGCACAGGAAAATCAACACAATCGACTTTTTCATTTTAAACAAATACAATTAGAATAACTAAATTTATATTATCAATGAAAAATCAAATAGAGAATAAATAATTACATCCATGTGCATAAACACAACACAGAAAATAATGATCAAATGACTAACCACTTGTAAAGAGGCTGGATTCGAAGGGTTGTCCCCAGGCATTTCAGTTTGAGTAGCATTTCCACATGAAATGTGCCTCTCTGTAATTTTCAATTAGATAAACCAATAAACAAAACAAACATTTCACGTGGTGCAGAACAAATGTAACTTGTGAAGAAGCGCATACCAGGAGAACTTTCAAACCCCATTGAATTTGAAATCCATCTTGAATCTCTCAGTTCATTCTCATCCCGTTTGCCCATACCAGAATTCTCTAACTCATTATCCGATTCCAAACATATATGAGGAGAACTTCCGGACCCCATTGAATTTGAAGTCCATCTTGAATCTCTCAGTTCATTCTCATCCCGTTTACCCATTCCACAGTTCTCCAACTCGTTATCCGATTCCAAACATATACGAGGAGAACTTCCATACCCCATTGAATTTGAAGTCCACCTTGAATCTCTTTGTTCATTCTCATCCTGTTTGTCCATTCTGCAATTTTCTAACTCGTTATCCGACTCCAAACATATGCGAGGAGAACTCCCATACCCCATTGAAGTTGAAGCCCATCTTGAATCTCTCTGTTCATTCTCAACCCGTTTGTCCATTCCACAATTTCCTAAAATGTTATCTGATTCCAAGCATACACCAGGAGAACTTCCAGACCCCATTGAATTCGAAATCCGTCTAGAATCTCTCGGTTCATTCTCTTCCCGTTTGCCCATTCCACAATTTTCCGACTCATTATCCGATTCCAAACATATCATTTGACTAACCCCTAAACAACAAACAAACAATGTAGAAGCTGTTCAGCTAGACATTCACTTCTCATAGAATAATGAACACTTGAAAGAGGAAAAAACCCAAACTACGCATTGCAAATTCAATTCCACCAGAAAATCGAAAGCTACATATTAGCACAGAGAAAACAAATACCGCACCACTGCAAGTCCAATTTAGTTTCAACAACAAATTAATTTGTCATCATATAAACAATGTAACTGCAACTTCATATTTCCTCTTTTTTCTTATTTCTTTTTCATAACCGCTGAAAATGAGCAATGCAAGAGTTCCAGCAGAAAAGAAAGAAATCGAATTACGGAAAATGCAAAATAGATAATACTAAAGGATAGAGCTAAAGTGAAGTGATAGCACATAGCAGTGAGTTGACCTGAGAATTTATTAGGGGAAACCCTAACGGAAGGCATTGTGCATTTGACGATTGCGATATCGGAATCGAATAGCGCCGACATTGGAGTCTCGGGAACGATAGAAGGTGTGGAGGATTTCTGCGGGGTCGGCTCATCGTCGAGGACCAGAACGGTTCGGTTCGGGTCCGGTTCGGTTCGGGCTTTTTTTGAACGGAGCGGGAACGGCGTTAAGGGGTCTTCTTCGTCAGAGAGGATGATTGGATCCATCGTTGCCTCTTCGAATTAGCGCGGGATCAGTCTCAACCTCAACTCTCAAGAGTAATTTTATAAAATATTGTTTATTTTAGTATTTATTATATTTATAATTTATAATGAGGAATATTTTATAGATTACAGTGTTATAATCAACTTCCAAGCCTCGCCACCAACGTTTAAAAATGAGGCTAACCCATTTGTTGTGAGTGGGCCCAAAGCTCTTACCCACTTCATTTAAAGGTGAATTGCCATATTCACCCTTGACATACTACCATACATTCATTAGTTTCTAGTTAAAAAAAAGAAGAAAAAAATGTTACAGAAGAACATGTGTTTAAAATTGTGTGAATTGTTGTTGTGAAGTTTGGTCCATTAATTCCATATCACGTTGACGTAGCATGGATGATTAGAGGAGGAGCAACAAAACATGTGAGTTTGTGCCCTGGATCACCAACTCTATGTACGCAAAGCAACGACAAGTAAAAGCAAATACGGATTCTCATTCATCATTGAAGAGGCAAATCAACCCCAAACAAGACGTCATTACTTTTTCCTAATCCTCTTAACCACACACTTAATCACTAATCACTAATAATTCAGCTTAGTACTACTATACATTTTTTATTTACTCATAACATCCTCCAACCGATTAGGATAATCAAATTTTGATGAACATATTTAAAAGAAGTGAGTTATTTGACAATTGTGTTGAGCCTTATCAATTCAATAGTAATGTGGCAAAGGAACTAGAGGAAAAGTGCTGCCGAATCACGTGGCAAAACAAGAACTAGGATTGATGCAGGGCCATGTCTAACACATTTTGGGACCACTCTCTTTTCCAATTCATTCCCTCCAAGGGACCTTTTTGCATGCTATGCCATGCATTTGTCGGTCTCATTAGGTGAATTAGGGATGTTACCCATTGGCCCCTACCCTAAAACCCGGATGCATAACTTGCTACATTAATATTCATTCTACCCCAACAATTTCTGCCTCAATTACTTCACTTTCCGTATTAGGTGCTTCTCAATATCATATGTAATTAATTGTTATTAAATATTTTTTATAAATAATTGGTAAACTACTTATAATAATTTTTTGGGTTAATTTCAAGGCTTCACTTCCTTTACAATTGCATGCATTAATTTGTCATTAGTGTCCACATCCTAATCCACAAGTATATTGTTTATTTTATTATTGGCTGGCTATTCTAGCTAGTTAACCTTGCATTCAACTCTTTCCATGGCTTTACTTGTACTATTTGCTGTACATGTTGTCATCATAGAACAAACTCAACTGTAAATTTCATGGACTTATAATGAAGGTTTTAAATTGTAATTAATTATTATGACTTTGTACGTTGTGACTTAATAGAATTGTGAGAGAGAGAGTGGAAGATAGAAGATGAGAAAATGTTTCAATAAGTAAAAATATGTTTTCACTAACTGCACAATAAATACAAGATAGGTTTATATAGAGTCAACCTATGTTGGTCTATAATAAAAGCAATAAATGTGACAATAAAGAAGATAAAAAAATAATCTATATTACTATTTTACATATATAAGTAAGGAGTAAAACTATACTCCAATATGAATTTTTATGTTTTGAAAAATTCTATCCTAAGATTGAATTACTCCATTCATGAAACAGTAAAATAACTTATAGTTATAACAATCTTATTTAATTCAGAATAGATTTATTATACTGAGTTATACATCTATTGAGTTGAAGTGATTGTACGATAGTTTCATGAGAAATGCTTACCTAAGTATATATCTTAATTAATTTATTCCTAATCTTTCTTTTCCATGGGTATTATCCTTAATCTTAATCATGAGGGTGAAATTAAGGGACAGTGCAGGGCCACAATTAGATTGATGGGGTGATTTTTCAATAGACAACAGTGTTCAACGCCTTATCTGAAAATGATTGAAGCCCCACCAATGTCGGTAATCTCTATTTTTTCCTTCATTAATGCATGATTTCGTTTCTTGTTTAACTAAATTGGAAAATGGCATCGCATGATTAAGAGAAATGATAAAAGGATAGAATAGTCAGGGGGAAATGACTAAATAATATCAGGTTTTATTTATATTTTTATGAACAAAACAACTCATTATTAGAAAGAAACCAAAGCACGGAAGAGTTTTATTTTTAAGTGAACACGATAATTTCACGAATTCTTTATAATTGCGGGGAGATGAGGATACATCGTCTCTTTGGTAAATATAATTTTGTTTAAGAAAAATATTGAAGCAAAAATTACTTTAAAGATTTATTGATAAGATTAATCTTTGACAGATTAAAAGATACAACTGCATCACACTTTAGTTTATTGTCTATTATCTATATTATAACTATCACGTGTTATAATTTTTTTTATCACGTATGTCACTTTAAGTTACAACACCACACACACACACACACATATATATATATATATATATATATATATAGTGTTTGAAACTACACGATATCTTAGAAGATTAAGTTATGAAAATATAGTTTGTCAATGGTAATTAATA